TTTTTAATGGGTTAATGGTGAATTTTTTTTTAAAATAGCAATGTTATATAATTTAATTACCAAATAAAACAAGTTTTCAAAAAAATTACCAAAATAACAAATTTGAAACTCATCCAGCAAGCATTCGTCAAATGGTTTGACGAATTAGTTAAAATGTTGTTTCAAGGCATTCGCCAAATGGAATGGCGAATTAGGCCATTTGGGAATTGGTCAACGTGTTGTGGCCATTCCATTTGGCGAATGCCTTGAAACAACATTTTAACTAATTAGCCAAACCATTTGGCGAATGCTTGCTGAATGAATTTCAAAGTTTGTCATTTTGATAATTTTTTTAAAAGCTTATTTTATTTGATAATTAAATTATATAACATTGCTACTTTAAAAAAAAATTCGTTAATGGTTGATATTTGAAGTTATTTAGTAAAAATATTTTCTCTAATAGAAATGTGAATGTGTGAAGAGTAGTCTAGAATATTCCCAAGTCAAGTGTACATGATGAAATGAATGGACAATTCTAGAACAGTCCCAAGTCACGTGCACAGGATGAAATGTATGGACACTCGGCTTATCCAATCGTTGGTTCCAGAAAGCGTCCAATAATTCTATAAATTTGAATATTCTTCGGTAGCATCTTTGCATAAAGATAAAAAATGACATCAACCCTAGCAAATATGAGTTTTTCTGCTCCCACTTCATCTTGCAGAATGAACAAAATTTATAATCTCAAATTAACAACTTTGTCCGGAACAAGGAATACAACTTTCTACAACAACGTAAAAGCTATGGCAACAGGAGATGATTCAAGCTTGCAGAGGGCAAAGCTGCCTTCTTTTATGTAATTAATTTTTAATGGGTTAATGGTTGATATTTGAACTTATTTAGTAAAAGTGTTTTTTCTAATAGAAATGTGAATGTGTGAAGAGTAGTCTAGAATATTCCCAAGTCAAGTGTACATGATGAAATAACTTATGGAATACAAAAACAACATTTACTCTTTTGAGAAAGTGTAAATGGAATGAAATATCTTTCCAATGAATTTACTCCAAATTTTTAGGACACAGTTTTATATTTCAAGTGCATATTCCCAAATTTTTAGGACACAGTTTTATATTTCAAGTGCATATTCTCATACTGATTGCAACCATTGACGTAACTCTCATGCTTTATGTCCATCAGAATATAGAAGTAATGTATGATATAACACTAATCAAAACTAGGGTCAGCCTTATGCAATTACAACTAAATCATTAACTCAATAACTTTGAGAGTTTTACTCATAATTTGTCTAAAAAATTTAAAATTGAAAAAATATCAATTTCGCATAATATACATAATATTATGAATTTTATTAGAGAAATTAGATGTGTGTTTTGTTCTAATTTTCATGAAAATTATTTTCATTATCTAAAAGTACTCTTTAAAGTGTATAGAAATAGCAATAGAATTCCTAGTAATAGTCACACAGAAATAAGAGGAAAAATTATAAATTGTACCGTTCAAAGAGTTTGGATGAATCCAAAACTTTGTAAGCATGTTGCTCAACTTATGTTGGCATAAGTGTGAGGTTTAGGAGTGTTGGTTATCTTGAGCTTGACCTTTGAGATGACTTTGTATTTCTTTGTTTTAGAATATATATAATTTTTTATTTTTATAAAATATGAAAATATGGCATTTTCAATTTCAATCATATTTTATTATTTGATTCATACTAATCATATATAATTTTTTTTTATAGTAACCTTTTGATGATCATATTCCAAAAATCAACAAAATGCAACTTAAAGACCAATCAAACAAGACCAAGTCAAATAAAACAGATATTTATGTTTTATATAGAAAAGAAGCATTGGAGATGACAAGGTTAGTAGATATATTGAAATACCTTTATGGACAAAAAATAACTTATATGTGATTTTATTTAAATGAGAGATTAAAACATAATGTGCACTTTAAGGAGGTATTCGATTAAAAAGTTTAACATAAATCTATCACAATGTATAGTTACATTTCTACTATTAAATTTAGATTATTTTAGATAAAATATATTTCATCATAAATTAATACAATTAGATTAAAATGTTAAAATAAACACTAAAATATTAACTTACCTATCAATTTTTCTTGTTTAATTTAATTTGTATCAAATGTTTTAATAATATTGAATTATAACTTTTCTATTAGGCTTGCATTCGAACATTTTAAAGAGGCCACAAAAGCTTATCAACAAAAAGATCATTTTTCTGCAAAACAACATTCTATGGCCGGCAGAAAAATACGTCTTATGGTTGAAGAGCATAACTATAATGCAGCAAAAGAAATCTTCAAAATTAATAACCGCAAAAACAAAATTTGGAGAATAGATTTGCATGGTCTACATGGATCAGAAGCAATTCAAATCCTACAAAGTCGATTAAACGAAATCATTGCCACACAGTCAAAATCATTAGAAGTTATAACAGGTATTTTCTATATTATTTGTAATAAAATTTTAAAATATATGTATAAAATGTAAATTTAGTGTGTTGGTTTTAAACTAAAATAAATTATTTAATTTTTTTTAGGAGTTGGCAAACATAGTCACGGAAAACCAGTACTTCCGATGATCATTACAAAATTTCTCAAGGAAAACAAGTAAATAAAATTCATTATATGTAATAGTTACAATAACAACTATCATTTTTCTTCTCATTACTTATTTATTTGTTATTATGCAGTTATCAATTTGAAGAGATCAGGCCAGGAGCCTTGAAAGTTTGGATTTTTTCTTCCCAAAATAAGTTGGCAAGTCATTAAACACAATATATGGTACCAGTAATATTAAAAGGCAATCAATTCATAGAAGCAATATAAGAGTTATATTGTTATGAATTTTATATGCTTCTTCCTAAACCTTCAAGTATTGAAGATCGAGTTAGACTGTTTATGATAGTAATTTTCAAAAACCATCACCCTTAGTTTATGTGGCGGTTAGCTACACTCTTTTTTTTCTTGTAAGATTTTTAACGAGTCACTCTTTTGACTTCATAATTGTTGTATAAGAGTTTTAGTCTAGCTCTACCAAAATCTTCTCTAACCCACCATTGTACAAATTACATATAAACATTTTCAAGTTATAAACCACTCGTTATTATTCTCACCTACAGTAAGCATGTAGATGTGTGTTGCAAAACATACCCAAAAAAATAAGGTAGTCTGAACTGAATGTAATTGGATTACTTAGATTGTTGATGATGTTTATATTGTTAGAAATTTGATCATGAACCTCTCTATGAGAAATGTCATTTTTAAACAATTCTCATCTTTCAAATTGCTTGATATTTCTGACACACACTTTGCATTTGTCATAGTAATGTTAAGATTTAAATTTTTAAAGGTTCTTTGCAATCAATAGTATTAATGAAGAATGAAATTCTTATAAAAAGGATGACGTGGGTAACATTCAAGATGTAAAAGATTTCATTTTGAATGATGTTTGATGGAACAAACTCTCATATATTAATGATTTTATAGACCCTATTTATAATAATATAGTTAGAGTTTTATGATACCGACGAGTCCACACTTCATTTGGTATACAAGATGTGAGATGATATTATAGAAAATGTGAAGACATCTATCTATATATAGGTATGAAGGTAAATATTTAAAGGATAGAAATAAGTATCTATAATTAACCAAAAAACTATTAACTTTTATTAATATTTACATTTAATTATTTTGTAGCTAATAAGTTATGTATTAACGTTTATTTCATTTATAGGTACTATAGTGATGAATGATTTTGTAAGGATTCAAATAGAGTTTTTTCACACGAGGATGAAGAGATATCTATTAAAAAAAACAAGTGATTTCATAAATTGTTTATAGATATTGAAAATAGAAAAAAAAGTTAAAATTGAATATGCTAATTTCTCATCAAAATCAAATGATTTTGTTTCTTTTGACTCTATCAAAGATAGATGGATATTAGACCCAAAATCTTGGTGGGTGATGCATGATTCTCCCGCTCCTCTCCTTCAAAAGCTTGCTTTGAAGCTTTTTGTGGAACCTAGCTTTCATTTTGTTATGAAAGAAATTGGAGTTCCCATTCAAAATGAATTGAATTCTAAAAAAGTCAAAGTCTTGGTTTATGTGCATACAAATTTGAGGCTTTTGAGTAGGATGCATGAGAGAGTATTTAGGGTGTTTAACTTTTGAAGTTGCATGTTGTCTCTTGATGAACCAAATTCGGAAACCACTCTATTTAATGGTGATGACGAAGGAGGACATGACATTGATACTATTCCAATATTTTAGATTTAATATTTTTCACAAATATTGAAATGTATTAAAATTATGTTATAAGTATGACAATGATTTAATTAAATATTTAATTTTAATTTTTGTAAGAGTATATTAATCATGTCATATCTTGCATTCTTTGATTAATAACGTGTTGTCGTATCAAATGCGTATCTAATACCTGATACTCGTATCATGTATGTGTTTCATTGAATGCCAATGTCACTGGATGGAGAGGATACAGAGAGACTATGTCTTAATTTCATATCATCCGGGAAACAGATTAACCGGCCTCTAGAGTAGAATCGTTAAAATTAGCAGTCTGTATTAGAACGCAGGTTTCACATCAAAACATTTAACTATAACTTCCTTGGGTGTAAAGGGATGATTAGCTTGATGGTTTCTGCCTTCAAAATATCTAGATTTTTCTCTCAGGTTATGCAAAAGATAAGGGACACTTAATGTGGATCAGCATTAATGTTACTTTTAAGTTTGCATCTGAATTTCGGCCAACTGCTCAGATGCAACAACTAGTCCAGATACACAGGAATGCGGAGCTGTTTAATCATTAGAAACTAGTCACTTACTAGTTCATTGCCAGTTCCCAAAACCATCTACATGTTCATCCTCTCTTAAAATAATAGATCTTTCACATCCATGCAATCACACGCTGAGAGCTGTAATATTAAATCACTAGAGATATTGTAGTCTTCTGGGACTCAACCTACGTCCGAGTTAAATGCAAGGTCAGAGTCTCCATTCCATGGATCTAGGTCGACCGGTTTCAGTTGCAATATTAAATTCTCCAACATAAAATGAACATCAGATAATTCGCTGTGTGAATGATCAAATGCTTTAAATTCGTGAACTGAGCCGGCTACTTCTATCCAACTATATCCCGGAGTCTTTTCCACCTGCATTCCTTTCATGAGCTTCCTGATCTGCGCCGCTGCTTTCCAGTTGTGACACATTGAATACAAGTTTGTCAGGAGTGCATATCCAGAGCTGTCGTTCGGCTGTAGATTAACCAAAACGTTTCCTATATGTTTACCCATTAGGAAATCTTTGTGGCTCACACAGGCACCTAATAAAGCTACCAAAACCCCAGGGCTGGGCTTCATTGGCATGGTATCAATAATTTGTTTTGCTTCTTCCAAATATCCCGCTCGACCAAGGAGATCAACCATGCATCCATAGTGCTCCATGTTTGGCTTCAAATGATAAGTGTGCATCATCAATTCAAATAACCGTTTGCCCTCCTCTACAAAGCCTCCATGAGAACACGCACCAAGAACACCAAGAAAGGTAACTTCATTAGGTTGAATACCACCTTCCAACATGCGTGAAAAGACATTCAATGCTCCTAAGGCATCCCCATGCACGGCAAGCCCATTAATCATTGCCGTCCAAGTCTGCACATTCTTGACTTGCAAGTTTTCAAACACCCTTAATGCTTTATCGATGCACCCGCATTTTGCATACATATCTACCAATGCCGTCCCTAGAACTACATTCAGTTTCACCTTGTTACAGTCTATGTACCGATGCACCAACCTTCCTTGGTCCAATGCCCCTGCATGAGCACAAGCACTAAGAACACTAGTTAGTGTAAATTCATTCGGCATAACATTATCTAACAACATGCTCTGGAAGAGAGAGAGTGCATCTTGATACTTGTTACATTGTACAAATCCAGCCACCAGCACTGTCCAGGCAATCACGTCCCTGTAAGGCATCTCATCAAACACTTTGCAGGCATCTTCACATCGACCACACTTCAAGTACATATCCACAAGCGCACAATAAACCGAACCATCCAGACTGACTCTCCCTGCTGCCACATAAAACCCATGAACACACTTTCCAAAATAATCATCCCCAATCATGGCAGCAGCACGTAGAATACTAGCAACGGTAACACCATCAATCACAGCACCATTCAATCTCATCTCCACAAAACACTTAAGAGCCTCACCAGGAAGACCATTTTTAACAAACCCATTAATCAATGCAGTCCAAGCAATAATATCCTTTTCAGGACGTTCATCAAACACACGGCACGCACTTTTCATAAACCCGGAATACCCAAAAGCCGAAATCAAAGCATTACCAACAAAACGATCAAGATCAAAACCAAGTTTAAAAATTTGAGCATAAACCATAAAAGGGCCTTGAACAATAACAGACTTTGAAAACATCTTGAGAAGCAAAGGGAACGTGTGTTTATCCGGTTCAACACCCTTTTCTCGCATTTTTGCATAACAGAGAAGTGTTGTTTCCGGGTGAGAGCTGATAGAGAAAGATGTGATGACCTTGTTGAACAGGCGAGTGTTGGGAATGTGGATGGTGTTGAGTAGAAAGCGAAGAGATGAAGTTTGAGTTATAGTGAATGGAGCGCATTGGATGAGTTTGGTGAGGAAAATTGCGTCTTGGAATGAGTAGAGACCGGAAGTGATGATGATGGATTGAATCTGCTTCCATTGCTTCAAGTTCTGGTGTTTGTTTGATAGGGAAAGAATTGCACTGCGCAAAGGAACAAAAAGTAGCATAGCGTTGTTTGTTGTAGTACTGGTCTTTCACGGAAACACCGCACACAAGACGGGGATGGTCGCGCGCGCCAGGGCGAGAACCCTCATCTTTCAAAAACCTTTCGTTTTATATAACAGAATTGCAATATACTGTATTACGAACCACATGCAAACGAACCACAATAACACATGAGTATGTGTCAGATTTATAATAAAAATTAATAAATTTTTAGTTGAATTTAGATTATAAATCATATATTGCAATATTAATACATTTTTATCCATCGAAAGCATGCAAAGAGAACTACCGCATAAGAACTAAAATTTATCACGATTAAAGAGTGTCTAAAAAGAGATCTCATGAAATATTTGTCATATTTAAACCATGAAAAAATAGGACCTCAATTTATTTTTTTATAGTTATATCATGGTAAACCTATACATGGTCTCCGAAAACTTAAGAGTACTCTGCTTTTCTCAATATATCTTGTATCATTTATTATTATATCTTCTTCTAATTTTTTAAAATTCTCTTTTATCTATAATAAATGAATAATAATATTGTAAAATCATATATAATTTATCTTTTTCGTACAACATTAATAATATTTTTTAATTTGTGTGAAATAATCAAAATGTCTTTTAATTTGAGACGGTGGGAGTAATACATAAGTGCGTATATATGACATGGTGAATTAAATACCCAATGAAAACTATTTTTCGCTTTGGTTACAAAATTTGAAATTCTGATACCGAAGAGATAACACGTGATGTTGGGATAACTAATCTAACTTGTTTAAATTAGTAAGACAACAAAATAAAAACAACAATAATACAATATAGAAAATAATAAAATAACACAAGAGATTGGTAACACAATTCAATGCAAACAACACCTACGTCTAAAAGACATTCTACCAAAGAAAAAAATTCACTACTTCGAATTAGTACAATTAGTCTTATAGGAACATCAATTCCATGATATTCAATACATCCTCCTAATTCTAGTGACTCTCTATTTATGACTCCCCAAAAATATGAGAATCCCTTTCACTTTCTCTCAATCATTAACCCCTAGTGATCAACTTCAATAATAACTCTATTAATTGTTGAATTTACAATTCAACTAAGATAAACCAACAATTATGTCAAGTTACTGAAACATAGTGTGGTGTACAAAATAGATCGAACACTAATTCTTATGATATGAGTGATAACATTAGTGTGAAATACAAGAAACAAAAGACTCAAAAACCATAGGCACTATGAACTTAATCTAGCGCATAAAAATCTTGTCAAAACATGAGAATTGAGTCTCCTTATATAGCAATGTATTATAGGCTTTTTCTCCTTGAATATCTGAATTAAATCCGTCCAGAATGATAATTGAATTAGTTGAATTTTATTTGCTCCTTAAATATCTCCAACAAAAGATATGATTTGTTATAATTCAAATTCAAATTTAAATCATATTTAAATCTGATTTGATCTTCAACAGCTGTTAAACAAATTACACAAACATTACCAATCAATCTGCAACAAACCTGATTGAATCTAAATCACAAATTTTACACCTAATAACATCCATCATGGTCTGCTGACCAGGGTTAGATGTTGCACTACACACATGCTAGAACGGTGTGTTCCACATGTTGCGCCAAAACATCCATATTAACTATTCTTCTTAAAATAAAATCTTCTTTGTAGAGTGAATCTTGGATTAGATAATTCTGAACCAAAACTGCAATACCATTTATCTATTGCTAGAGACCAGATGTTGCAACACATATGTTGGAATTTTGTGCTCCACATGTGCCTCTTCTGCACCAGAAACATCTTGGATTTACTCCACATTGTTTTGCATCGTGCAACCAATCCAAAATGAACAACAAACCCTCTTTTAAATTTTTTGGTAGAGCAACTCTTCAAGCCGAAACACATCAGAGTATTAAAGATATCTCATACTCAGACCAAACATCAGTATCATCAGAAGAATAAACATTAGAGCATACATTAGCAACAAAAGCTAGAGCAACAACAACACATATAAGTGACAAACAAATATGTTCCCATAAATAGTTAACATGCAATCATTCATGATAAGTTAGTCATACACGCACACACTGTTAGTATTCAATTTTAAAAGGCCAGAATCTACTACAAACAAACAAATAAATAATATTGAGGGCCAGATGCCAGGCCAAATGCTTCAGCATGTGTGCACACAAGAATCATATCACATCAGTTAGTACCAAACATACTATTCATTACTAACATAAGAGGATATACCAGGTCAATAATAGAGCCTCATACACCACAAAATCAATAGTTAAGTTAGTGGTTACACCGCTTCACTACACACACCATTACTCCCCATTTTCCACAATTTGGTAAAGGTGTACCTCAGAATATCATCCAGTCAGCTCAGAGGTGTTAGAACAATATTTGATTCTGCATCCAACCTTTAGTTTTGATGATAATAATATATTGTTTCTTAGAGAACAACTTTGCACACTAATGGTTTTGGGTCTAGTGTGTAGCTTTTGCTTTAACAGGTTCTGACTCTGTAGCTTTGACGTGCGACGTTATCAGACTATGGAATTAACATACACTAACTTTAAAGAGATACAAGTATGTTACAAGGTGATGTCAAGTTCTAGAAAGCTCTTAAACAATGGTTCTGAAGAACGTTTGTGCTAAAGCTTCTGTCTGTGACTCTGATTGAAGAGCCTCTGAAGGATTGTCTACCTTCAAGATTCTGCGCTCAAGTTCTGAAGACTATGAAGAACAATATCTGAAGACTCTGAAGACTAGGTTCAAAGGAATTGTGTCAAGACTCTGAAGACTAAGGTTCTGAAGATTCTCTTAACCAATCTCTTGATCCTTCTAAACAGACTTCAATATCATTTTATTAGAAGCCTATGAAGATTAATCAGAGTCTAGATGGAACATACATCTATTAGAGAAATTACACCAAGGAACTTCTAAAGAAGTTTGACATGTCAGAGTGCAAGATGTCTAGGACTTTTATGCATCCTACATGTATCCTTGAGAAGGACGAGGCAAGTGCTAAGGTAGATAAAAAATTATACATAGGTATTATTGGATCTCTCGTATACATGACTGCTTATAGACATGATATTTTGTTTAATGCTTGTTTGTGTGCTAGCTTCCAATCAGATCCTAGAGAGTCCCATTCAATAGCTGTTAAGAGGATCTTCAGGTATCTGAAAGGTACAATTAACCTTGGCTTGTGTTATAGAAAATATAAAGATTGCAAGTTAGTGGGTTATTATGATGTTGACTATGTTGAAGATAGACTTAAGAGGAAAATCACTTTTGGAAGCTGTTAGTTTTTGGGAGATAACCTGATCTCATTGTCTAACAAAAGGCAATCAACAATAGCATTATCAACTGCTGAAGCTGAATACATTGCAGCTTCTGGATGTAGCACTCAAATGCCCTAGATGAAAAGTTAGCTAGAGGATTTCCAGATATATGAGAGTAACATTCATATACTTTGCGATGATACTTCTTCTATTTATTTATCTAAGAATCCCATTTTACATTCTATAGCTAAACACATTGAGATAAAACATCACTTTATACGTGACTATGTTCAGAAGGGAATTTTAGACCTGAAATTTATTGATAAATGCCACCAATGGGTTGATATCTTTACAAAACCCCTTGCTGAAGATGAATTTGTTTTCATTCTGAAAAAAGATATGAAAATGGATTTCTGTCAAGAATGAAAAAGATGTTCGCAGAACATTAAACTCACAGAATAGTTAAATGAGACTCTAAGATTTATTTTGATTCTAAACGCGTGAGTCTTCTGAAGTGAGAAGCTTTCATAAATTAAGATGTATCCTATCAGAATTTGTTTGATTAGACAAATCTGATTTATGGATACTAAACAATTTTTTTTTGCATTTAATAGCTGTTAATCAGTCTTGGATAATGGGACAATTTTAAAAGACAATTGTCTTAGAAAACTCAATCGCTTTCTAACGTCTGCGTGATACATTGGGCTAAATCATTAACCTTGGGATTACGTCAAAATCTTCATGCTTTACTCCTTTGTCATTATTGTTTATTTTTGTCATGATTGAGAAAAAATCATATTTAAACTCACTTCACTCACTTCACACATCTTTGCTACTTTCACTCCTCACAATTTCTTGTTTTCAAACCGAAAAATTGTCAAACCCTAAAAACGCCCTCTCATCATCAATGGCTTCCCAACAAAAACAATCATCTTCTCAAGAATTTTAACAACAAGCGCATCAATAAGAGCAAGAGATTGAATATCTTCAAGAACTCGTGTTGTCAACTCCAGTTGAAGAGTTATCTGTTCTTAGTGAATTATTGGTGGACTTTGATATTTTCAAAGCAAATGGATATGATCTGATAGAAACTGCTAGATTTCAAAGATGGGGAAGTTACTTTGAACGTCTCAAAGGACCAATTTATGACTAACTTGTTAAGAAATTTTGGATCTTTGCTGAAGCTTAGCCTCTTCAAGTGACATCCTATGTTCTGGGTCACAATATTTCTATCTCTGACAAATCCATTACTACTCTTATAGGACATGATAGTTCTGGAAAACAGTGTTTCGGTATGGTTTCTAAGAAGAAGAAGATGGAAGAGATTGCTAAAGTTATCTTTACTGATAAAAATCCCTCTTATAATTCTAAGAAACTTAATGGAAATCTTAGGATCTGGTTCAATATTATTCTTGGATGTATTTATCCACGACCCTCTTCAAATTCCCTAGATTACATTAATGTTGATCAGAAGTACAAGTTGTCCTATCGGGTCAGTAATGTCAAGATGAATCTGACCTTTATTCTCTTTACATATCTGAAGTTTATGGTGAAGGAAACTAGAATTTGAGGTTCTAAGATGAGAACATGGATACGTATAGGTAGGTTGATATCATATATCTTGGTTGAAAGCAAGCTAGTAGAAAAGCTGATGGAAGCAAGTGATCGGTGGATTTTACTGGTGTTTTTCAA